ATGTTCAAAAAATGCAATTACAGTATTAAATCATCAGTATTCTATTAAATCATCAATCAATGTTTTTTGAACACCAATCATTGAAATTTTTTTTACAGTATATAAAACAATTAAACTTAAATCATTACAAATCTAGTTCTGATCTCTTGTATGCTATTCCATCCACAAATTTCTATTATCTCGTAATAGAAAATGTAGCCTTGCTGATTTTTATTGTTATTTTGTGTTATTGTGATTTTTATTTAATTGTGTTATATGTTTACATGTCTTATAGACACCAAAAAAAGTTTCTCAACAAATGTGACTGTATTGTAATATATAGAGCGTAAAACAAATTATTATTATTATTTTTTGCAGTACAGGCAAACCCATCAAAGAGGCGATAATACTGAGATATTTAGTACTTCTAGGGGTTAAAAGGTGCACAGTTTCTTTTTACCTGGGTATACGGATACAATCTTCAATGTTTGAAAGGCCGAGCTGCCTGTCTGAGCCCAGACCCCATGCAAACACTTGTCCTTTATCATTCAGAGCCAGTGTATGAGCTGCACCGCAAGACACGGACACAATGTTCTGAGCATCCAGAGACATGACCTGTTCTAGAGAGGGGATGTAAACATATAACAACATTTGAGTGAATTATACAGATGCACTACATTAAATACTGGCCTGGCCAATATATTGTGTGTATTATTTCAATATGTTGCATCTGCTACAGCAAAATCCATTTGTATAATAATAATGTTCATAATGTTCATTATTGAAAGTTTATTTTATTTTTAAGCATTTGCTATTGTCTGTTTTTATATGTTTTGATCCTTTGGCTTGTGAAACAGTGATGCCAATAAAGGACCATTTCAAAGCATCTTGATGTTTATATGGTCTGTGCTTGACACTTCTAGATCACCGAGTTAGAGGTCATGTGACATCTAAGGAACTGACAGTTGTTAGAACAGCAGTCAATGTCACACTGACTGACCTGTATGTGTTTCTGTGGAAATGATAATATGTTACAACACTCATCAGATTGATTTCAGAGGAAGTACAGACTGTTTCATTGATATAACCTAAAATAACCCAGTGTTTTCGAACAGGGAAAGTTTGTGGGATTGTGATGCACTACCAAAAAGGCCAGTTTTTTTTTTATTCAGCAAGGATGCATTAAATTGATCCAAAGTGACAGTAAAAATATTTATAATGCTACAGAAATTCATTATTTCAAATAAATGATATTGTTTTGAACTTTCTATTCAACAAAGACTCCTGAAAAAAAAAATGTATCACCGTTTCCACAAAAATATTGGGCAGCACAACTGTTTTCAACATTGATAATAATCAGAAATGTTTGTTGAGCAGCAAATCAGCATATTAGAATGATTTCTGAAGATCATGTGACACTGAAGACTGGAGTAATGATGCTTTGATCACAGGAATAAATTATATTTTACTATATATTCACATAGAAAGCAGTTATTTTATATTAAAAATATTTATATTAAAAGTCAAGTCAAAGTTTATTTATAAAGCACTTTTTTTTTTAAACAACATGTGTTTACCAAAGTGCTGTACAAGCATGAATAAGGCAATATGACAAATAGAATAAAGTTAAAAATATTATGAAATATTATAGAATAATGTAAAATAAAATAGCAGCTCTCACACAGTGTTAAACGCCATACTATAAAAGTAGGTTTTTAAGCTAGACTTAAAAACAGTAAGTGTTTGGGCCTTTCTAACATGTAAAGGCAAATTATTCCAAAGTCTAGGGCCCGCCACTGCAAATGCACAGTCACCCCTGCTCTTCAGCCTTACACCAGGGACAACTAACAATGAATGGTCAGCGGACCTAAGTCCCCTCGACGGAGCATATGGCTGTATTAAGTCTCAGAGGTATGTCGGTGCCAGACCATTCAATGATTAAAAACTAAGATTCAAATCTTAAAATCAATTCTAAAACGGACAGGAAGCCAATGAAGAGAGGCCAAAATGGGAGTAATATGTTCCCGCTTTCGTGTTCCCGTTAGCAAACGAGCTGCAGCATTCTGAACCATCTGCAGTCTGGTGAGGGAGGCCTGACTAATGCCTACATAAGGTCCATTACAGTAGTCAAGACGGGATGAAATAAAAATGTGTATAATTCTTTCAAAATCTTTGAAACTCAGAAAAGATTTAATCTTAGAAAGTTGCCTCAGCTGGAAAAAACTAGATTTAATTACCAAATTAATCTGTTTATCCAGTTTAAAATCATTATCCATTAAAACACCCAAGTTTTTTTTACAGAGGGCTTCACAAATGGTTTTAAAACACCTAAATCCAGGTCAGGAGACCCACAGGCACCCCCTGGAGTAAACAATATAACTTCCGTCTTATCCTCGTTAAATTTTACTGCCATCCAGGCTTTAATTTCCTCAAGGCAACACAAAAGTGGCGCTATAGAATTTGGATGTTTTTGTTTCAATGGCAGATATAATTGTGTATCTTCTGCATAACAATGAAACAAAATATGATACTTCCTGAAAATGGATCCTAGAGGAAGTATATATAAAGAAAATAGAATAGGCCCCAAAATGGAGCCCTGGGGAATATTATATAAAAAATATATATTAATAAAAATTTAAATGAATAAAATATTTCACAATTTAGCAGTTTTTACTGTATTTTTATCAAATAAATGCATCCTTCGGGACAAAAATGGGACAAATTCAAACAATTAAACACTTTACTCAGATCTTAAATACAAAACTGATTCAATAAAACAATCATTCATATATTCTCAGGGGACAATTTTGGGTCAGCATGAAATTCTGTCTAAAATGCACTTTACATAAATTGTACAAAAAGTGAGAGGCATGATTTAATCCAGCAGGATCATAAAAAGTGGGCGTATTCGAGAGAAACCACCTTAATATTACCTCATTAAAAATTTTGAAAAATAAGAGGGATTGATGACATCAGCCACAATGACTTGAAGTGAATCATGTAATTAAGATCAAGTAATTATATTAATAATGCCAAAATATTCTAATGTTAGTAAAGTGTCTTTGTGGCCTTACCTGGTTTCTTGCGTGCTTTGTCATGCCCCAGCTGTCCCAGGTCATTGCAGCCACAGGTGTACACCGTCCCGTCCTCCAGCAGAAAGACGCTATGACGTCTGCCGCATCCCACATCCCTCACACGCTTGCCCTCGAAGAACTCGCATTTCCTCGGCTCCAGCACTATCTCCTCATCAATCCCACCCAAACCCAGCTGCCCGTACGAGGCATTTCCCCAGCACAGCATGACGAGTGACGGGGCCGTATGGCCGCTCTCTTCCACAGGTGAAGACCTACAGGTCCAGCCGCTACACACACACACACACACACACACACATATACACATATACACACATACACATACGCATACGCACACTCACACACACACACACTCACTCACACACACATACATACACATACACACACACACTCACACACACACACACACACACACACACACCACACACACACACACACAAACACACACACACACACATACACACACTCACGTCAGAGGAAAGCAAACTCTTTAATGCAGCAGCAACTAGATGCTAATTATTATTTTTGTATTATTATTATTGATTTTCACTCATTAAAAAACAGAAATACCAGAACCACCTCGAACTAAAGTGAAGAGAAAAATAAAAAATAAAGATAAAATAACTAAAAATAAAATAATAATATGTAATTTTTTAGAATGCATACAGGGTATGAAAAATGGGAACACATGGATTTAACGATAAAAATAAAAATAGAAAATATAAATAAAATTATAAATAAGAAAAAAAGAGAAAATTGTGACATAAAAAAGTTATTAAATAATTAAAATAATTAATTGTAAGATAAACAGTCACAATTACTGTTTTTTTTTATTAATTTTTTTTGTTCCGTGACAGAAACAAGCTTCCATAGTTGCACGAAAGTACTAAACTGTACCCAATTACATTATATATATATACCCGTGTGCATTAATGCATGTAAAATACATTATATCATTATATTATATATCATTATACATATATTATATATATCATTACCTGATTGATGTATGCAATCACTAGGTTACAAACCTAACCAAGTAGCCTAATAATAGTATAGCTGCTGCCACAGTTGTCAATGGGTGCCACGGTTTAAACAGATGAAAATGAAAGCGTGCAAGTCCTGCCTTGAAAAGAAAATTCTCTCTACAGAAATCTCTCTAGAAAGTTCAGTTTGAGGGAGGTGTGTACGTAAACATTTATTGCACAACACTGCTTACAGTCAAACACTATTATTGGATGCAAATAAAACGGGTACTACAGCTTTAAGAGCTTAAAAATACATGTAACTGTTTTATACCAAATAACAACAAATGCAACACTGTAATTCTAAACTTCAAACCACGTGATTCACGTAAGATTTAAATACCCTATGACGTGTGTTTAATTGGAGAGTGTGGAAAAAAATGACCGTTAAAACGGTTGGTATTTAAACGCAGTTCTGAGGGAATGTCAGCTAAACTCTTATTAGCGCAAAACTATGTGTATTTGTTTTCAATGACAGCCTTTCAAAATAAAATAAACCACACCTCACTACTGTTGCGCACGAATTTGTGCCTTTAATAAGACTACAAACATATACTCAGTCCCTATTATATGTCGCTAGTTCACTTGAACACCGCTACGTTACATTTCTGCACCCACACCCATGAGGGTTAACGTTAGTCAGTCATAAATCCTGCTTTTTCTTACCTGTTGATATGTAATATAACGCTCCTGTGGACGCGTCCAGCACACGTTCAGTTTGTTTACATCGACGTTAATGCAGATATGTTTTGTAACGTCATGACAGACTGAAAGAGCGTCAGCAACTGAATGAACGCGAAGCTACGGTAATATTCCAGAGCCTTTGTGACACCGGATGTGACGACACACGCATGCGGCGCTGCTGCGGTGGGGGTTAAAACGAAACACACATAATAACAATAATGAATTAATAAATAAAAGTGTGTTTATGTGTGTGTTTTCTTTCCCTCTATATAGTCATTATAGGGTAAATTAATGAGAATGCACGTGTTTGTTTAAAAAAAACGTAGTGTTTTGTAATAATCATGGTTATAACCAAGAAAAAATTATAAATAAATAAATACAGTAAACGGGATTGTTAAGTTTTAACTAATACAAACAAGCAGTTTAAGTATGTGAATGTTTGTGTGAATCTGAGAAGGGTGAATTTTAATCATGAACATGTTCCAGTGGCTACAAACCTCAGTGTAAAATTTCAACACCCAAACTAGCTACAACAGAAACGTTGCATTTTTATTAAAAGAAAAAAAAAAAACACTGTACCAAAGTGCATTTGTAAGGTTACGAGACAACAATAGTCTGCATTCAGTAAGGTAGAGAAAATAACACTTGCTTGTGTTAATAAAAACCACATTAATTTCTTATACAACGTTCATTTGAAATCCCATGTCTTCATTTATGAAAGATGGCCGTAAATAATAATACTTAAGTAAACGTAACACAACAAGTGCAACACCACAAGGCAGTATTCAGTGAGTAATGCACGACAGCATTAGAATATTGCACATTTCGTATTATCCCACACCTCATGAACATTACAGTGATTTAAATAATCTAGCTTTTACCCTGGTCTCGTAAATTAAAAAGGATTCGGAATCCAGCAGCTGAAGTGTTTTGATTCAAGTAACAGTTAAGAGCAGTGTGCTTGCTTTATGAGTACAAACTCTCCCCTGTGCAGTGTAAACGGTCCGATGCTTTCCTGTCCGGTTTCAACACCTGTCGAAGCAGGGAGCGGCGCAGGGGTACAGCGGGTTCACCTGGTAAGCCCTGCTGGGCACGTTCACCTTGGCATCCATGGTCTGTGTCTGCGTGAGGCCGTGCAGAGGGGCCGTGGAGACCTGCATTGGGGCCGTATGTGTCAGATATGTTGCAGGACCTTGAGAAGACACTACCACCGGCTGGCAGCTCTGCTGCATGTATTGCGTGTTCGGCCGCTGCATGTACTGATGCAAGGACACACTCTGACCCTGGACGGGATACACCATCTGTGCAGGCTGAGCACTCGGCTTCGGGCATTTCTGCTTGTTTGCTTCCTTTACGTCACTGTCATGAGCACTGAGAGAGAGAGGGAGAGGATATTAGGGAAGATGATGATTTCCATGTTTGTAGCATCAAAATGACCATTCAAATATAACACATTATTTTTTAGTAATTTTAGTACTTAAAGTGAAACTGAATGAAAATGAGAAATGATGCCTTTGCAACTAGCTGAAATAAAATAAGTTTTATTTTAATAAAATTAATTTTTAGTTAACGCTTAGTTTATTTCAAGTAACAAAAAATGCAGAAATGCATTCTGTAAAGTTGTATTTGCATCCAATCAACTTGCATTTACAAGCATTCAGTAAAGCTGCATATGCATCAATTCAAGTTGCATTTGCATGCATCCCAAACATTTGTATTTGCATCCATGAAATTGCATTTACATGCATTCAGTAAAGATGTAAATACAACTTAAATGCATGCATTTACATCTTTACTGTATCTACAACTTTACTGAATGCACTCAATTTGCATTTACATGCATTCAGTAGTTACATATGCATCAATTCAAGTTGTATTTACATGCATTCCATAGTTTGTATATGCATGAATAAAGTTGCATTTACATGCATTCAGTGAAGATGTAAATGCAACTTAAATGCATGCATTTACATCTTTACTGTATGCAAGTATGTAACAATGCTTGCATATACAATTTTAATGCATGTAAACGCAACTTGAATTAATGCTTATGCAACTTTATTGAATGCAAGTAAATGCATTCAGTAAAGTTGTATATGCATCTATTCAAGTTTCATTTACATGCATTAAAATTGTACATGCATGCAGTCAAACTGTACATACATGCATTCCATTTGTATGTTTTTTTGTTAAAGATAACAACCCTGGGTCAAACTCACATTAGAAGTCTCTCCACGCAGGGCAGCAGCTGCTCCCAGGTGTACGCTGACAGACGCTGCAGGCGCGGAGGCCAGGTCGGAGACAGACGCAAGATTACCCTGGAGGAGGCAACACACGCCGCAGCAACCAGGGACGGGATGAATCGCAGAAATGCATGGTCTTGACAGAAAAAGGAAATGCAAAAGAACAAAACATTCTGATTCTGTATACTGCAGTTCTTATACACTCCCACAGACATTCAACAGGTGAAAATGCACTGCATCCGAATTAAACTCTGCACCTTGTAAAGAGACCTCTAGGAAATAGTCAGCATATTTGGACATGTACAGCATGGTCTTCTCCATGCACACCATCGGCCAGCCGTCATGCAGGTCCGTCTCATTCACAGCGACCGGCAGGTAGTACTCTATGAAGTGAGCAGCGGTGGGGAGGTACAGGTTCCACTGAAATGTCTCGAGGAGCAGCAGCTCCATGTGCAGGAGACCCTGTTTGGTCAGAACCAGGTTCATAGAGCTCATGCAGCCCAGACTGTTCAGTGTCTCCAGCTTCGGGACACAGTCTTCTCTCTCCTCAAACTTACCTGGATAATAAAAATGGTTGCCGAGTGGTTATGGCGCAATACTATGTGGTGTGCTTTGTGCATCTCACACAATAACAGAATATCACAATCACAATAACAGGAGATTGACTCTTACTGGCCAAAAGCAAGCAGGACAGCGTGACCATGTGAAGCTGCTGTACTGAGATGTCATAGCGGTCCATGAACAGGTCCAGCAGATAAACAGCCAAGTGTCTAGCCGCCGGGCAAAGCTTGAAGCGATTGCTGACTATAGCGATAAGGTCTGCAAAATATCGCCTAAGGCTCAGCTGTGGGGACTGGCCTTTGTACGCAGGCAACCGCAGCTCCTGAAAGACATCCAACGAGACAACCACACTGCAATTAATATGTTTTATAATACTGATTTGTGCAATAATCAGTTTAAGTTGCACATGCATGCAATTGCCAAATTAAGTTGCATATGCATGCATTGAATTTGTAATATATATTTATATTCATTTGTAAGTCGCTTAGGATAAAAGCGTCTGCTAAATGACAACGTAAATGTCAATTTGCATTTATATACATTTAAAAGTTGCATGTGCATGCATACAAAGTGCATTTACAAGAATTCAATAAAGTTGCATTCATTCATACATTGAAGTTGCATTTATATGAATTCAGAACAGTTGCATATGCATGCATGTAAACAAAATTGACATGAATTCACTAAAGTTGCATATACATGCATTCAAACAAGTTGCTTTATTCATGCTTTCAAGCTGCATTTACATAAAGTCAGAAACGTTGCATATGAATGCATTCAGTAAAGTTGCATATGCATACATTCAAGTTGCATTTACATGCATTAAGCTGCATATACATGCATTAAGCTGCATATACATGAATACAGCAAAGTTGCATATGCATGCATGCACATTACAAAATCCGAAAGACAATTTCACTACCATGACAATTTTGTAATAACAGATTTGTGCAAGGTTCATGTGCATGCATGTTCGATGGCACCAAAAAACCAACACAATGACAGGAATACAAACTTTGTAACGCAGGGCCTGATAGATGTCCTCTGCAAGTTCTCCTTTCCACCACTGACCCTCCAGCTCCATTGGGCTCCTGGAATATATGAGGTTTAAAGATCAGATCAGCTTCATTGAGCAAAAAGCACCTCACTGCATCCCAAGACAAATCAAAGCTCCAGCAACAATCAGCACTGATGACGGTGAGACCGCTGAAGGTCTTGATTGGTCCAGCACACTTCAGGAGGAGAAGATCATTTAGAGTAACAAGCCTGAGTCTTCCTCAGTGTGCACAATAGTTAGTGGGTCAAACAAACCAATGCATATTAAAGTGAAAAAGCAAAGACGAGTCTAGAATCAGTAAAGAACTCACCGCACACAAGGACGCCTGCATACAGACAGTACAATGAAAACTAGCAGCCGAACAAACTTACTCGGATAATCAAAGTGTAACTCAAATCAAAGTTTACACTGTTCACGAGCAAAGAAGCAACACACAGCACGGCGAGTACATTGCCAATCTCAGCCAATCAAAACTCGCCTTACAATCACAGCGCGCGACCAATCAGAATTAAGCTTTCATCAGCGTCAAGGCACGAATGTTTGTCGAGTGTCAAAGAGCAACTAATCACAGAATTACACTGACAAAAGTGGTGGGAAAACATAAGAAGAAATCAACTCGCACTTGACACCTAAAAGAAACACAATGTTCACTATTAGCTGTTTGTAAAGTTTGTAAAACACCTTTCAACCCAAATGTCGGAGCCTGCTATAACAAAATCTCACCGCTAGAGGCCACCCTCTCCTCAATAATGATCACAGCATATAACCTCTGATTTTCTACAGAATGAAAATTGTATGAAATGCTTGTTTAAATAAAATTTATTTATTTTTGCTATATCATTCCTAACAATGTTTTGCCACACATTTTTCAAACATTACATTTACATTTAGTAATTGAACAAATGCTTTTATTCAAAATGACATAAACATTAGAAAAAACCCCCAAAAGCAAATGACTGCAGGGAAAACAAAGTCTCGCAAAAGTGAGATGTATGTAAGTCATGTTAGCACCCTGAGCAGAAGTGTAAATGCAGAAAAACCTCAATCTATTAGCATATATTCAAAGACAGACAGACTGTACTTTCCTTTTTAGATTTGTGTTTTCCTTATGCCTTAAAAAGTGCTCCCAGACCTGTCCAGTTTTTTGATAATTACATTTTTTTTTGTACTTTTTATTTATTTTATTTATGATGATGTTGATTATTTTGAGTAATAGATTTAAACCAATGTTGGCTTGTGATGACCTTTGGCTTTGCGCATCATGCCATTGAAGCATAGCTTCATTTCTAACTTATATTTTTGCATTGAAATGTAAAATCAATATACGTTAATTTGATTTAAACATTCAAAAATTTTTATTTAATTATTGAAAAATTGTTTACATTTACAACATTTACTTTTGCCCCATGCACGGCCCTCAGTAAATGTGGATTTTTGCTTCTTTATATTAAAAGTTTGAGCACCTCTGATTTAAATGACAAATATTCTATCAATATGAGATTGTAACTATTGAGTCTTAAAACGCATCTTTTCTCCCAATATTTTTACATCCTTGATATCTAAGCAATGTGATTCTCCTGACTTTTCCATGACTTACTTTTTGAATGAATAATTTCTATTTTAATAATCATAATAATTGTCTTTTTGAGACTTGGAAATCACAGTTTTAGCTTGAAAGCATGACATTGTTGACTTAAATGGCCATGAATTGAATAGCAATTACAAACAAGTAAAAATAGATTAAATAAATAAAGTAAAAATAACAAATAATTTCTACATTGAAATGTAAAAAGAGGACAGTGAAAGAAAGAAGAAAAACGGAGAAAATAAATGGAATCATACATGCTAGTGCTGACATCTCAGGTGTGTGTGTGTGTGTGTGTGTGTGTGTGTGTGTGTGTGTTTACTCTTTTCTCACATTCTCATTGACGCAAATGAGTGTGTAATAAACGGCTCAACATGTAAGTGCTGTGTGCCTCTCTATATGGTCGTTATAAACAGTGCTGAATGATGTGTGTTGAAAGAGGAAGCACATGCTGTCTTCACAGGGCTGTACTTCTCTGTGCACATCAAGTCTGTGGCATGAATGAGCTTCTTTCATTAACAGAAAGCCTACATGTAACTAGGCATTAATGCATCGAAAAATGCATGCAATTTAGACAATGCAGTTAGACATTAGTACGATGTGGCATGCAGGTAATCCATACTTGTCATGAGCTGCTCTTGTCCCCGGATTGAACTGTCATGGCTGCCGCGCGCTGTTGACTGACTGTGGTTGGACGGGAGGCGGAAAAGCGCTGTAAGTCTGGTCACCTTCGACACATTTACATGCACTTATATGCGTTTTCACATATGCATTGCATAAACTTTGACTTTGAAGCAGAGTGAAAGTTTTATTAGTGGAAATGCAGTGTCGGACGCGCATAATGGCATGCACGATTTGAAAAACATGTTTGTTGGGCAACTTTAAATAGGCAAGTCTGCATAGTTGCTAAAGTAAACTCTATCGCAGGCTATTGGCTTTGCATTTTACATCGCACTGCATTAAGTTTGATCTGAAGCGATTTTAAAACTTTATAACACGTTCATTGCATTGTGACACAGGGTGAATTAGGCAGCTGAACCACAGGTGCAAACTGATTGTACTTTATTTAACTCGTTCAACTCACGGTGCATGCTTAGTACATTATATCTGATTATATAATTTCTTACATTTGATGTCTTTTGAGATGCATGGATCAGTATGCATGTGTATATTAAGACAAAGATGAGAGGAAGACTATTAAATAGTGAAACTATGCTTTCAAAACAATACAGTACCATGGTACAGTGATGTTAATCCCATGGTACTTTGATGTGTATCATGGGATTAAAAGATTTATCATATTACAATGGAATTTACAAGAAGGGTCCAGTGTATTTCAAAGAATACCACGGTATTACCATGGTGCATGTTTAGAAAACACTAGTACTGAACTCATAGTCATTTATTTGTTACACACACGTTGCATAAGCAGTTAAGGAATAATAATTAAAAAGTAAACATAACAAAGGAGGACTGAGTACACATATAAATATAATAATTAAATGTAAGTGAAAATGTACTATCGTGATACCATGTTCAAAAATCATGGTAATACCATAATACAGAGCATTTAATGCACACTTAAGTTTAGGTTCATTCAAATATATTGACTTGTAATAAAGATGTTGTAGTCTGGTTTTGGGTAACTAACTAAGGTAACGTTGTAAATGACATTTCAAAGAAGACCAAGTTCTGTTTTTTAAAGAAAATTCTTGATGTACACACTGTATATGTGACAGTTTTTTAAATCTTTGTCATATGTGGTAAGATTTCAATCATAAACACTAGTTAATAATTCAATTGAATGCCCATTAAATAGTTTACGCAGCATGCATTACAATAATTACTTATTACATAAGCAGAAAATGCATATGTACTGTATGCACTGCAAAAATGATTTTCTTGCTCAATATTTTTTGTCTTGTTTTCAGTATAAATATCTAAATATTCTTAAATCAAGATACATATTGAGAGGTAAAATGACATATAATGATATAAAGCCTTGTTTTCTAAAAATTGTATCATAATTAAGTGAGTTTATGCTTAAAAAAAATCTGTCGATGGGGTCAGAAAAATAAACTTACTCAGTATTTTTGTCTTGTATTTAGTATAAATGTATAAATATTCTTAAGTCAAGTTACATTTACTTGAGAGACAAAATGACATTAAGAATATCAAGTCTTTTATTCTAAAAAAACATAAAGAGTTTATGCTTAAAACAAGAAAAAAATCTGTTAATGGGGTAATAATAAACTTAATTCAATGGCAAAACAAAACACTGACAGATATTTATTCTTGTTTTAAGCATAAATCCACTTAATTTTGATAATTTTTTTCTAGAAAACAAGCTTTTGTCTTGTTTTCAGTATAAACAACTAAATTATCTTAAATCAAGTTACATTTACTTGAGAGGCAAACTGAATTGAGTTGTCTTGTTTTCTGAAAAATGTATCAAAATTAAGTGAGTTTATGCTTAAAACAAGAAAATGTTTCTGCCAATGGGCTAAGAAAAAAACAAGATAATTTTTCCTTGTTTTAAGCATAAATTCACTTAAATTTGATCAGTTTTTCAGAAAACATGTACTATTTTAAGTAGTTTCCTTTCTCAAATAAATGCATCTTAATGAAAAAAAAAGGTATTGCAAAATTAAGTGAGTTTATGCTTAAAACAAGAAAATGTTTCTGCCAATGGGCTAAGAAAAAAACAAGATAATTTTTCCTTGTTTTAAGCATAAATTCACTTAAATTTGATCAGTTTTTCAGAAAACATATACTATTTTAAGTAGTTTCCTTTCTCAAATAAATGCATCTTAATGAAAAAAAAAGTTTAGATATTTGTAATGGAAAACGAGAAAAATACTAAGTTAGAAAATTATTTTTTACAGTTTATCACTCATGCTCAGTATTGCAACCAGAAACATTGGTGAAAATCTAATGACACTGGTTATGCATTCTATTAATACACTGGTTAATATAATGACACTGTTGTATGGATTATTGAGTTTTGAGCATGATCTATCTAAAAGCTCAAATTTCGCTTGTCTTGTATAGGGCTCTGTACATCCAATATGAATGGGGTCAATGCCAACCCTGACGCTCAGGTTGGGAATGAAGAGAGGGGCATTTGGCATAAACGCCTGCGTCTCAGGAAGACCTCCTTTTCATTCCCTACTGAACGAAACACTGTGAAACAGGAGAGGAATGTTACAGCACATGGATGGAAAGTAAAAGGGAAGTCCAAGAAGCGACCTCAAAGTCTTCAGGCGGTGAACACCTTCACCTGCTCCTCGTGCAACGACGGCATCTCCTTCAGACCCGGCGAATTAACAATGCATTTTAAGATCGTCCACGGAGGGAAAGGAAGCCCACCGGTGTTTCCGTGCGACATGTGTGGTTTCTCCTCGCCGGTGTTCACTACGCTTCAGCAGCACCGAATGCAACACGAGGATTGTTTGTTCGCTTGTGAGATTTGTGATGACAACGTCCAGCGAACACTTCCCCAACTGACCAAACATTGTCAAACTCACCATGCTCTAAACGCACAATACTACTGTCTGAAATGCAAACTCTCCTTCCAGGAGATTAAGCAGTTTGTGTGTCACTCGTGTTGCATTACTGATGGCAATGCACAGAAAAACGATCTCTTAAAGCACATGGCTGCTGCGTGCCGTCAAAGGTGGAGCCGAAGAAATTGGTGGAGAAAGCGGGCAGCTGTTAAGCAAGACGGTAAGCTGTCTCGAGAGTTCAAGTACTTACTTCCAAAACCAGAACCCCAATGGATGTCCCCATTGCTCCCGTTCTCCACACCCGGTCTACTGGACGACCACGGCGTCTTGCTGGATCCAGAGAAGACCTTGGAGGAAACGCAGCAGTTTCTCGAAAGGACTGTTTGTAGTGGTAAAAACTGGCCTGCATCTCTCAAAGGCGAGCAAGATTTTGTTTCTCACACGCCAACAACACCCCATCCGTCACAAGCAAATGCAAAGCGGTCTACCGCACCACACACTGGGAAAGATAAGCTAAGCGGACTCATGGAGAAGAACAATATATCTGTTCCCCTAGATTGCACTACAAAGGTGGTCGGGTTCAAGATGGTGGACGGCAAAAAGCATTTAGTTCTCAAAGTCATTCCTTCAAACAAGCGAGACGATTCGAAGGATGCTCACACTGTGAAACCTGCCAATCAGCAAGACGAATCCAATGATATTTCAACTGTTAATGCCTCAGGAAACTGTTCTCAGGTGACGCCTAGAAGGTCTTCGTCCCAAAGAAAGAAGCAGGAACGATGTGTAGCTCAGCAGGGCATTTTGTCTTCAGTGGTTGAGAGGATAAAAAGCCAACAGAATGATGGATGCAACAATCAGGAACATGCAACTATTCATCTCAATGCATGCAACGCCTTCAACCATAATTCCGATATTCAAACTCCCCATGCAAAAAGAGCGAATGACTGCCAAGACAAAGCCTTCAGTGAATCCGAGGAAAACTTTGCCGCATGCCAAGGAGATTCAGGTTGTCATAGCGATCTGACCTCGGATACAGGTTCTTTGGAAGAAAGGTGTAGTTCACGACTCCTTACAACTGCGTTTGATGAAGAACCCAGTCTTGCACTAGATTCAAACTTCATTCGCCATCAGCCGAAAGCATGCTCCATCTCTGGGTTTGATTGCGTGAGTCCGTCCTCTGGATCTCCCCTGAAGGCTCTGCCTGAGTCTTTGTGTCAAAGTGAAGGCCTGTTATTCCATGGCAATGCTGACGAGTGCACAAACAACATGGACCCCAGAGATTCTCTGGTCCCGGTGGGTCAGCGCGACTGTGAGAGCGAAAGCCGCAGCACTCCAGACCTGCTTCACACGGTGGATGAGCTGCCTTTAACAACAGTCAACCATTTGCTGGATGAGGCGAGAGCGGATCGGACGTTATCGCCACACGCCAGCTCTGATGAACCTCTGAAAGATTTAACACACGCTGGAGGTAAGCATTAGGCAGAGCACTCTGGGATAAAGTGTACTTGTTGTGTACTTGACATGGTTCCCATAGTCATGGACAAGTTTAGGCAATTGTTAAAAGACTGGAAATTTCTATAGAATTGTGTTTAGTTGAATATTTTTTGTTGTAGTTATACATAACTTGGCTTGTTGTGAGTGAGGTCTAAATAAAATTGTTTAAGTAAAGCCATGGAAAAGGAGCAGTAAAATGGTGTGGGAACCCCGTTTAGAATAAAAGATCTGGTCTATCCTTTAAGACAGATGTACAGTGCATTCAAAATGTGTACCTTGATGTTGATTGTTCGGCCAACAAAACATTGAAACTCTTTCCAGCAGACAAGAGACTCATGGTTTAGATGTTCAATATGTCTAAGCTTGCATGCATAGAGATCTAAAGTGGATACCGCTATATGTAAATCGCACGCCATATTGGAACGGTCAGTGAACACTTGAGATCGAGCAAACCTAGTTATTTACCTGTATGAATATCTGTATATGCAGTAGTCTTTAGCAGCTGATTTTCACAGGATTTAGTTTATCGTTAATGTTAGATAGTTCTGTATATAGTAAATAAAAAAAATAATATTGATCTTATAAACATTATAAGAACCCTATCAAAGATGTATCTATAGCAAAACGCTATAAAAATGCTAAAAAAAAGCTTAGTTTTCATCTATCTGACGCCATTTGAAAAATATTTTATATTTGAAGTACTATCTATCTATCTATCTATAATAATAATAATAAATAGTAATTATTAAAAAGTAATAATAAAATAATAATTATATATTTTAAATGTGTGTGCATTTTAAATATTTGAAATAAATAATTAATAATTCTTAATAAATAATTATTATCAAAACATTATTAAAGCATTTTTTTATTTACTCTGAAATGGCTCGGTAACCTTTCCAAGCAATCTATTGCTGCCACAAATATTCAAAGTATTTAATGCAAGAAGTAAAAGATTGTATAAACATGTGTTCCATATGTGACCCTGGAGCACAAAACCAGTCATAAGGGTAACTTTTTTGAAATTGAGATTTATACATCATCCGAAAGCTGAATAAGTAAGCTTCCATTGCTGTATGGTTTGTTAGGATAGGACAATATTTGGCCGAGATACAACTATTTGAAAATCTGGAATCTG